GGTCACGTTGGTCATTGTCTTCACCGTCATTCTTACCTTGCCTCAAATACAGATAAGCATCTCACATTAAAGGTGCACAGACTGCATTGTATTTGCAAATTTCTTACTCTCATGGAAGGAAGAACACGTGGAACAACGTTGGCCTACCTGAGTAGACTGGCAGAGGGAGTCCCCCAGTTCAGTCACACTTGGAGTTTTGAACTTGCCTTCCCCTGAGATCTGTAAGAACAATGACTATGCCTTATGAACACAACACAGTTCCAAACTCATCTGGAAGCTCTTGATCTCATCTCCCCCTCTAAAATCAGGAATATCCTTGCTTCACAGAGGCAGCCCCAGACCAAACCAGCACTCGTCATTAGCTTTTCAGGCTTGTGAAAACAGCTGCCACTTCTTTGAGTATCCCTGGACATGTACTATGTCTAGTCACATCTGGGGCCAGTCTTTGACAAGGTATAAGAAAAGTCACAGCTGAAAGTGCAGGTTTGCCTATAAAAAGTTTAAAAAGAGACTGTTACTACCCAGGGCCAGTGGTTCAGGCTGACCATGTGGAGTGGAGAGGGAGAAGGTAGTGACTCTATCTTGACCCTCACTAATTCCCACAAGAGGCTGCTGAAAACATCCTTGTGATTCTAAGTTGTATCACACAGAATGACCAGGGCTGACCTGACATCAAAGCTCTGTAGAAATGCTGTGGTCCAGAGAGCACGAGAGCCTGAGTGGCAGGGAAGAGAGATTAGAGATAGGACGGTAAACTCAAACAGGCTTTGGGGATTGTGGAGCCTGTCACGAGCCTGGCCCTTGTTGATTTCCTGGGTTGCTGCAGGCAGATGATCATCGCTATCATTACTTTGGATGTCAGGACACTGAGATACACCAGGCAATCTGATGTAACTGGCTTTTCCAGGACAGAAGTGTTTGCCAGGAAAGTGGAAACAGGGAAAGGGAATGGAACATTGAGTAAATCAGGAAATGGCACTGACCAAGGGTAGAGAGGCCAGAGCCACTTTACCCCCTAATTTAAGGTTCTCAATTCTCATCAAATGGTTTTTTACTCAACTTCAAACCTTGTGGCATTTTCACCAACTGATCAACACCTGCTTTTATCAGACTCCTTAAATCTCTGCCTCACTGCAAAAAGTAACAGGGGAATGCTTTTTTCTTCTGTTATTTAGGTGAGGATTCTCACGGCATGGAGGGATCTCACAGAGTAATGAGATGCCAGCAGCATGCCGAGCCAATGTGCCCATAAAGGCAAGGGCCAGGTCCTGAATCCAGCCACCGGGAGGATCAAGGATCCCTGTATACATGCGAGAGAAAGCACTCTGTACAACTAGAACTGAGTCGCAAACCGCCTTCCGGAGCAGTCCTTAGGGAAAAGCAGTATGGAAGTGAAAGAGCTCACTTACTAAGAGAAGACTTTGTCCTTGTTCCATATTTGATGTATGAAACGTACCCCTTAGTAACCAGGCCTATGGCTCACAGAGTTGGTGAGCCATCAGTCAGCATCATCAAAAGAGACTTTTCAGTTCTTTGCCAGTCATATGGCGTCACGGAAAGAACAGGGCTCAGAAGTCAGATGGTTCTCTGATGAACCTGATGGCCTCTTGTACTCTCTTCCACTGTAGGCTCTGGAATAAAATAAGCTTCATGCCAAGTAAACATGGACTGTGGATAGATATCCACACAGGGGTCACAAAATTAAATTCTACAGGGACAAGGCAGGAATGTCAATGTGTGGGCCTGACCTATGGGAGAGAAAATAGGCGACTGATACGCACCTAAAGGAGGCCATTTCCGTTCAGTGCCCACAGTGGTTGCTAGGAAGGAATGCCAGAATCCAAAGACATCCCGTTACCCTGCAACAGTACATTCTTCACTTGGGCTGTGTGGGGTAAGGGGTTCTAACACTGTGAAGGCCACACTGCCTATCTCTATGGCATGGAACCAGCCTGTGTGTGACCTCCAGTTCACATTGTTTGCCTCCTTGTACCCAAAGCACATATCACAATCCTTTTCCTTTTCAGGTTAAAATAGTTACATTTCATTATACTAGACACCTCTGCCAATCCATTTTTGTTTCTTTTTGTCTTGAGTGCTGTAGCTTGCTCCAAATTCGTAGCACTATTGTCAGAGTCGACTTGGTTCATTTTCTTATCCCATCACCTCCTGAAAGCTGGTCAAATCTACAGAGCGTGATCATCACCTCCTCTTTCCCTCTTGTCTCCTTCTGTCCTCACCCTACCTGATCCTCCCAAATTCTGCAATTGCTTTTGAAGATATTGTCTCCCCTCCATGGCCCCACCACCTCAGCTTCAACAGTGGTCTCAGCAGTATTAAGAGAAATCACCCAAGCCCGGTTGTCTGAGGGCTCTTCATCTGAACTCTAGCTCCTGGTGGGAGAAGTGAAGTCCTAAGCTGACTTCATTCAAGTACATCTTGTAGCTTTTACCCTTGTCAGCATTAAGTCAGGTACTTGGAGGGGTAACAGCAACTTGGCACTGAAGGAAAGCTCTCTGGCAGAAACCTATTCTCTGTGTGCCGTTTATTCAGGGGAGGAAGAGTTCGAATGTGGCCCCAGGTTGGCTCAGGAGTTGTGGCTTTGCCCAGGTTTGAAGCTACAAACAACAAAAAAAGTATTAGGACCTGAAGCCATTTTCCCAGTCTCCCAGTGAGTGGTGGTGGCTTGACCAGGATTGGGGGGCCGGAGCCTTCTTCACGGCTAGTCCAGCTCCTTGACCACCAGACCACACAGTCTGTGCTTAACGTGTACTCAGCAAACCTCAAGCTCCAGGCCTGAAGAAACAGATTTTCCAAAAACAGACCTCTCTTTGTGAACAATTCAGCAAAAATTCTCTTTCCAGCTGTGAGCTGGGATTCATGTTGCAAATGTTGGTGTTAATTAAAAACATCCACCTTCTACAGTTTCAGCAACAAGGAAAAAGCACCATGCACGATACGTTCCTAAGCACTCCTCTCCAAAGCACTTATAAATATGATTCTATTTATGGCATGAGTTGCTAGCGGTTCTGATAGATATTATCATTCCCAATCTTCAGCCCCAACGATAAAGTTGGGGCCAAGGAGATGGATGCGAAGGGCTGAGTTGCCAAAAAGCAAAATTAGTATCAGTGGCGGATGCAAGAATACTCTTTCTTGCCCACAGGATCCACTAAAGATGTTCAACTTTCTGTATTCACATCAGGAAGGGTACCTAGTTGAAACCAAATGTTTATCTGTTGAGTCATTAAAAATTTTCTTCACGTGGCTCTTAGTCCTTCAGACGTGAAGAAATGAGGTCTGACAAGGCCAGGGACATTCTACAAAGGATGACACAATATATTCAATGATTGGGATGTTTGCTGACTTCCCTATATGCCTATTATAGTTCTCACCTTATTAGGAAATCTTTATCTCCAATGTTCCTAAGCTAATGAGATCAGGAAGACTGAGCTGCGCCCCTCTGTGCTTGCCTCTGGTTGGTGGATTTGCCCTGCTTTAAGACATGATCCAGACGAGAAAGAATCAAGCCAGAGCCACAGTATTATGAATGAAATTCTTTGTTTTTAATTTCACACAGTTTAAAATACAATATGAAATCAGGCTACAGTATATAAAAAACTCTCCAGCAAAATGATGTGCCAGCATCAGCTACTAAAATAAACAAACAAAAAACTCCGCCATAAGAATTTTTTTGCATTTTTTTTAAAAAAACACATTGACACTTACATCGCTACATCTCTAAGCTACCTCAGTTCTGATTTTTAAAAAGCACCTGCTTTTCCTTTTTTTTTAATCTTGCTTTTAAATTTTCAGCTTTTAAAAAATATAAATTATATGAAAATACAAGTTGGAAAATAGTCAAACACAATATAACATCTTTTTCATCCCTATACTTCTCAGCTTAAAAAAAAGTATTCTTAAAAAAAATTCAATAACTGAGGCAGTATTCCTGATAATTTTATTTTAATATATATATTTTATATATGTATATGTATACATATATTTATGGTTCCTTGAAACTTCTTTGGAATGTAGGTAAGACTTCAACAAATTTATATAGACCCCAACAGAGGAAGCGGCATGCACAGCATGACTAAAAGAGAGAAGGTGTATTTCTCACCATGAAGGTTAGGCAGGTTAATGCTCTAAAACCCAGAGTGTTCATCTCCAAAGTGAGGAAAAGCACATCTGATCTTTGAATGCTACCTCCAGTCCCCACGGCCACAAAATCAGGGCTCTATGTAGGGAAGTCCCTCCCCAGAATGGAGAAGGGAACAAAAGTGACTCTGAACCCTAAAGCCAAAACCGACAAAGGTTAAGGCATCTCTGGGAAAATGAGGTTTTCACCCAGCTAGACCAGATTTGCCCATCCTTCCTCTGAAGTTAACGTGTGTTTTTAAAAAGCATAAGCACAACATTTCCAGTGTATAAACCACCCACCACTCTTCCTGGGATGATCTCTGGCCTTTGGACAAAGGAGAAAAAACATCTGGCCAGATCGACAAAGCTGTCTTAACTAATACACTATCTACAAATCCTGAAAATGGTGGACCTAGAGAGAAAGGGAATCTTGGCGAACAAGCGGGTGGAGGAGCACTTTCTAATATCTTATCTGCTATAGGAATTGCAGGCGTTATACTCACACAAGGGGAGTTTCCAACATAAATCTAACAGGAAAGGTGGATGATTTGAGAAAATGATTTTATGCCTGGTTGCAAACAGCAAGCAATAACTGATACCCGGCCTTGGTTCTACTCTTATTCATTACTGAAATGTGGAAAGACTTAACTAGAAATCTCGGGTATTATTTCAGCTGCAGTTTTGCATGTCTGCAAACACACACACACACACACACACACACACACACACACCCCACTCACACACACGCACACATTCACACACACCTTTTGCCAGTGCCCAACAAAAATCACATAATCTAAGAGAAAACAATGTAGTCCAAACAGTTCCACCCAACACTCCCTGAGCAGCTCCTAAAATATTTTGAGAGCTTCATTAAGGCACCTGCATCCAAAAGATCAAAATACACAGCTGGGATAATTCTGCCTTTGCTTTCCATGCAGACGCTCCAATTCATCAGTATGGGGACATTCATGAATCACAGAGCTATATGTTCCTGATAATTCTGGGTCTTCAAGAGGATCTGGGAGTAAACACCGATCAACTTTCTTGAAGATATACTAGAAAGTAGTTAATACTTCCTTTTTCTCATCCAAATCCCAAAAAGGGCCAGCCCTGAGAAGCGCATCTGAAATGTTTCTTCCCTTCTCTCATGGAAGTCCATAAAGCTGCCCCTCTTCCTCATCCTTTCAACTGGGCAACTATAGAGTGAGGAGATTCTAATTGTGTTAGGCACTTTTCCTCACTAGTTAGATGTTGATTTTCCCCCCAAAACTCCATTTTCAGATCCACCCTCACAACCAGCAGAAAGATGACCACCTCACTTGACTATGTTTGCATTTAAACTTTGGGGGAACTAAAAACTCTATTCAAATCTCATGGACAACCTTATTTTCTTCACTGAACCTCCTTCTTTTGTTTCCTTTGCCTTCAAGTCATTCCTCTCTTCTGGAATTAACCTTCACTTACCCTGTGCCAAGACATCAGCCCCAAGCATGAGGCCCAAACAACACCCATACCATTCACTTTGCATGCACCGTCTCACCTCACATCCTACCGCGCTAATGTAAATTCTTCAAAGGAAAGCTTTGCACCTCTCTTCCAAAGACAGCCAAATCACATTTTATTGAAATGCTCTCTTAATTCCCATCACTTCTAAAACTCAGCAGGTCTAAACTCTTCAAATTATGTCATGTCTCCAGTTACTCTTTCACTCACCAATCAGAAAGCCGTACATTTCTCTCTACCAAATAACAGAGTGTGGGGGGTGGGGGTGGGGCGGGGGCGGTGCAAAAAATGGAGGATTCTTGGAAAATAAGACATAAAAGATAAATTACAGAGTGTTAGTTTAGAACGACATGCATTCAGGACTTATTTCTTAAGACCTGAGGGGTAATGCCCATGCATACAGCTTTTATTCCAAGTCATCTATGCTACAGGTATAGAACTAAGAAAGAACCAAGTCAATCTTCCTCCTTCGATTTCCTTTCCATGACTTCAACAGTGCTCCTACGTTGACTGTGGTCCAAAACCAGGGATGCAAAATACATTCAGTTCAAAGACTTAATGCTTCTTAACTCAACATTAAGTCCAAACCCCGAGAATCCACTAATAACACATAAGTAAAGGGATGCGATAATACTTTTTAAATTGTAGATGACATTCACACACATCATTCCCCTGTACTCAAATCAGCATGAACTGTCCTTCTTTTATAAGTCCCATGAATTTGGGATCCCTGATCTCAGTGAGAGCGTTTTGCTTTTCCAATGGGGTCTATATAAACAGTTTTCTTTCACTGTGACAGAATCCTCAGCCGGCAAATAAAAACAAACTTACATGATATTGCAATACTGAGACCACCTTAGAGCTTAAGACGATTTTTAAGAAAAAAAAAATACTGGCACAAAATTTAATAAAATAAATTTGAACACAACAATGGTTTTGGCCCCTCCCCACCGAAGTCCATCTTTGTTTCAAAACTAGAGTGAAAGGTAAATAGTTCTCAGTTTTGAGTACGTCCCACCCCAAAATATGTTTCACCCAACCCACCTCTTTTTTGCCCACCCAGATCTAAAAACAAAAGCAAATTAATTGCCTTACATCAGTTTCATGAGTTCTGATGAGACAATGTCTCTTGCTAATGGGTCCACAACTCAAGACACTTTTTCATGGATGATTTTTAAACATGATTGGACACATTAGTCTCTTCCTCTCTTAAGCCAGAGCCTTCAAGCTTCTGAGAAGACCTTTCTTCCTCTCCCGAAAATTTGCTCAAGAATTTCTGGTCCCACCCACCCCATAAGTCCTGGCTTTCCTTTTCCAACTGCGTACAATTGATTACAGCTGCAACTGACTTAGCTCCCACCCCTGAAGGTAAAAAATGAGTTCTGGAAAATAAAAAATAGAATAACAATTAAAAATTCAAGAGTCCAACCAACGCGGCTGTCCTGGGAAGGTCTCAGCAGGGTTCCCCCAGCCCCTTCAGCGCCATCACTCATCGGCATCTGGCTTGACATCCAGCATGGCGTGCAGCTCCTCAGGGGTGTATCCCAGCAGGCTCTGCAGGTCACACACAAAGCGGTACACGTAGCGTTTCCCGGCTGTCTTGTGGATGATGTTTTTGTCATAATAGTAGCGTAGGCCACGGCTCAGTTTCTCATAATTCATCTTAGGTTTGTTTTTCCTCTTTCCCCATCTCCTGGCCACCTGAAATTCAAAAAGAAAAATAAAGGAGGAATAGGTAAAAATCTATGAGATTGGCCAAATACATATGTTTCTATGCCTATGCTCCATACCCATTCATGGTGAACCATGACACTCAAGTAAGACAATCTGAGATTCATGCGGATATAGAAAATATTTTTCTAGTTTATCTCTTCTGAATTCCATTTTTCATGGATGGATTGGGCAGGGATGGGAGTCACAATGATTCTTTCAGTTGATGAAAACACAGTGACCCTAAACTTCTGTGGAATACGATTAAATATTTGACTTAAACAAACAAAAAGAAAAGCCACACTATACACTCTCCTCTTTCCCTATATTATTAGTAAAATCTCCTTGCTTTGCAAACATGAAATCTAACAGGCAGGTGTGAAGGGGAGGGGCTGAGCTGCAATCATACCTGCCTTTCATCAACAGGACGTGTTTTTTTTTTTTTTTTTTTCCATACCAGGGCATAAATATTTTCTCCTGTCTGCCAGAACAAAGATATTGTCTCTCTTTTCATTTTTTGTTATCCTCATAATTGCGCGTGGCTCAGAACCACCACTCCATAAGCATGTGTGTAATAAAAGGAGAAACTAATGAGCCCATCTCCCAAGGTCTCTTGAACTGTCTGGCCCCTTTCGCACTCACAGAGCCATGAGGCTGGGAGGAGGCTGAGTCACTAAGGCAGCTCTGTGGGTGACGGCTGACCTGCTGCCGGGCACATTAGTGCCTCCTATCACTTAATCCTGTATGACAAATGGGTAACATAGATATTTTCTCTATTTTCCAAATAATGAAACTGGTGCTCAGACAGGCTGTCTAGCTTGCTCCAGGAGCGGCAAGCGGAAGAGCTGGGATCCCGATCCTGGAAAGTGTCATTCAGGTCCACACAACCCCTTGCAGGGGTTTTCTCTCATCCTTCCTCAGCACAGAACTCACAAGCCCCTCCTTCCTTACCTCATCTGGGTCAGAAAGTTTGAATTCCCAGCCATCTCCTGTCCAGCTGATAAAAGACTGACAGGATTTATCAGTGAGTAATTCCAGAAGAAACTGCCACAGCTGGATTGGTCCACTGCCTAGAAACACAAGCCATTGTGAATCATTACACCACATACTCAGCACTCTCCGCAGCTAATCCCCACACACGGCACTCCCACTTCCCTCTTCTCCCAGGCCATCCAGCCAGGAGAAAATGAAGGCAACAGATAGTGCACATGTCGGAGGAAGTGTTATGAGCTCGAACAGACAGAAAAGACAAAGGCCTCCGTATAAAAAAAGAAAGCATGGAAGAAAATGTATCATTTTGCCTTATTTTGATGAACTTAAGAATCAGTTCATTTTTGTTGCTAAGCAAATTCTAGAAAAAGAATATTGGGCCTATCCTGTGGGATATTCTAAGGCAGTATAATCTTTTGCACCTTCAAAAACAAAGTCATTATTTTTGCCTTCAGAAGAAACATATTAACGAAGGAATTAATGTTTTTGCCAGTTTCGAGCAGAAGTTATGGCTCATAAGCACTGCTCTCTAGTAGGGAGCCTCTGGCCTCTGATTTGTGAGTAAGAAGGATCATTATCCTCAGGCCTCTCACAAGGAAATAGATGCTGAATGTCTGTTTGTCATAATATTTCTCTCCACCACCACCACCCTGCCCTTCCAGGCAAGCACCCAAACTAAGAAGAAAAAAAGAGAAGCATCATTACTATTTGAGGAATTAACTTGTCACCCAGGAAATCCTCAGAGGTCAGATGAGGACTATCTCAGACATTCTGCATAGGTTCAGGATATTCTAAATTACACACATACACACACACACACACACACACACACACACACTTCTCTATCTTAGCCATAAACACTCTGATAGTCCATTTATTCTATGCTAAAGGGTTTGTATTACACCGATTTACTTTTAGGATACTTTTCTCATCTGAAATGACAATGCCACCAGTGATTCTTAATTTATGGGTGTGGGCAGAGAGAGAAATAGCGGTTTAAAGTCTGTGCTGCTTGCTATGTGCCTACACTGCCCTGTATAACAGAAACAAACTGGGCAGAGCAGGACTGGGAATGACCCAGTCCACGTCTCTGGATAGAGCCCAGGAAGCTCCAGCTCACACAGGAAAGCTTTGCTCACTAAGCCTCTGATTTTTCAGCAGAGTTGCAAATTTGTCTGATCCAAAGTAAAGTGAGATTCAATAGGAAACAAACTTCAGTTTCCCTCTTGATCTAAAAAAGAAATTGCATTCAAAATCTATCAGGGTAATGTCTTGTTATGTCTCATATTTCTACAAGACACGTTCACATGCATCATTTTGCTTGCTCCTAAAATCCACACCCAACCCCTCTGCTGTAAGGAGAGGCACGAGAGGTCCTATGGTTTCCTTTCTATTGGTGCAGGAAAAGTGCTTAGCAAAGTACTGTGACTTTGCTCCAGGCCACAACTAGCAAAATGGTGGTGCTGGGTCTAGTTAGTACCAGGCCTGAAGAACCAGGGCAAGCTCCGCTGAAGTAAGGAAACAGCTACGACACGAGCTATCACCCCACAGCTAAAGGAAGTGCTCCTCCAGTAACAACTTCCTAATGGCGGTTTCCAAGCCTCCTCCTCAGCACTTGCCACACTAAATATGAAATAAATGAAACAGCTCTACCTCCTCTTTCTGAGAATATACCATTAGCTCTCTAAAACCATCTTGCAAGAAATACCTTGCATATATTCCAGAATAAAATGACTCTGTGAATGGCTACAAAATAAATGAGTATTTGAGCAACAGCCTAGAGGGCTGCACTGGGAAAGCCGTAACTTCCTCTGCTTCTACTTTTGTTCAATAAAAACCATTCAGTAGTCAACTCAGTGACATTTGCAGGTTACTTGGGAGTTGCCGAAAGTCGTGAGCTACTCATTCTCTGCCTGGGCCCACAAAATGAACCATGACATGATCAGAGGAATCCACTGAGAAGCCATCCTAACAAGCACAAGGAAACCCACCTAGCCTCAGAGGAGAGGGGGTTGCTTTAGACCCTGACAGAGAAAAACTAAGGAGACCTATGATTTACTGTGCACATGTCACGCCACAGATACTGGGAGTCATGCCCCAGAGTCATTTCCTTCATTCCTCCCATTAACTCTGTGGGGTGAATGCAACTGTTGTGCTATTTGTTTCTACCACTTCACAACAGAGAAAACTGACACACTGCAAGGCCATTTAGATTAGCAGTGGAGTAGCCGGGACTGGAACCCAGGCAGCCTGGCCCCGAATTCTTCATCTCAATGCTATATTGCCCCTGGACACAACCAAGCCAAAGGCCTGGCATGTAAACTGCCTGCCAGAGTGCAGTGCTCTCTGCAGAGATAAGGGATAAGGGGACCCGACTTCAAAGACTCTCTCCCCACTTCACAGCAGTTGCAGGACACGGGATAGCCAGTGATTCTCCCAGTCATCCCACCACCAGTGGCCGCGCCAGCCCCTGCCATGGCATTCACCTTCACAGGTGATGTTTCCAGCATCCTTTTGTGGTAGCCGTTATGTTACGTTATTTCATTGTTTCTGCCTCCCAGTGTTCACCTGAGAACCTCTCCCTCACTATCTGAAAATTTCTTTGGGGCATGGGTTCTCATGACACTAAGCCGAGTGGGATGGGAAGAGCGAGATCCCCAGGGTGAGTCTTGGGCAGGGCGCGGTCAGCACATCTGCCCGTGCTGGAGAACAGGGCCCAGGAGCGCATTGCAGTTTCCAGCCCTTGGGACTTGGCAGCCACAATGCAGAGAGGGGACCTTCAATTCACATGGTTTGCACCAGCTCTCAGAGGAGAAGCCTTCTGATGGAATGGTTAGTTTTCCTTTTCTACCAGTGCATTTTCCAAATTGAAAGGTCAAGCAGTTGTAGGCTGTAGATGCCCGCCCCGCCTTTTCTCTGTGACAGCAGCGTATTGGACTCCGTGAGTCTGGGACAGGGTGAGTACTTGCCGGAGGACTTTTTTCTTCATCGTGACTTCTTTGTTCGAAAGGTATGAAAAAAAAATTAAATTTAGGCTCTAGAAGCCCAAGTCTAAGGTGCAGAGCTCTCTCACTCTTTTTTTTTTTTTTTTTTTTTTTTGCTTTTTGCACCCCAGGAAAGAGGGAAGATAGAGAAGAAAAGCAGATACCTAAAGAAGTAATAGGAATATGAATGGGAAGAAATCTCTCCCATTGGCTTCACAATAGGAAAATCAACATAATAGAGATGTCAGTTCCAGGCTCCTTCCCAGGGTTCCTGCAGAGAAACCCCTCCTGCCTAACTGGTGCACACAGGGCTCACCCTTCAAAAAGCCCACATTTTTGTACCAAGTAAGAGGAGTTCATGATGGCCCCCGAAGCTTCCCCACTAGCACCTTTTTGCTGCCTCCCAAACTGCCCTTTTGTTGCGGGGGGGCAAGAGAACCAGGCAAGGCACGGACATGTCCTTCTAGCCAGAAATGCTGGGCCAGGATGGGCTCAGTTCCCGGCTGGGCGAGTGGATGGTCTAACACAGGAGCCTGTTTCCACAGCAATGCATCACCCTCACTTCAGGTCTGGAAGGGGACTTCAGAGCCACTTGTAAAGCCACGGCTTAGAGGCGGCTCTGGGGTTGGAAGACACACTGGCTACACAGATCCACCAGCGACACCCACATCCAGGCCCATCGGAAGTTCTTACGCCCAAGACTGGTGTAGACAATGAAACAGTCTAGCACTCCCAGTTAAAACTCTTCTTGAGGGTGTTTCTGTGCCGCTTAGCAGAGGTCTGCCCAGATCCACAGGGCTCCAGGGCCCCATCCCTTGCCCTTTCTCCAACACATCCCAAACTTGCAAAGCCTTTTCCTCCATTCCCCCTGCAACTCCCACTCATCCCTGTGCCCAGCCCCTTCCACCTACCCAAATGGACTGAGATTCCAGTGACCTTTGTCCCCCAGAGCAGAAAATGGTACTAAGAATAGCGCCAGTCATGGGAAGGGGAGCTTACATGTTCAATGTGACTCACAATGGTGTCCCTGTCTGGGATTCCCAAGGCAGTCAACAGCACCCTTCACGACGCTGCCCGGGAGTGTCACACATCAGGAATCCAGTGGCATCACTGGGAAAGTATGCTTCTCAAGTCAAAGCTCTGAGCCACAACAACAGAGGGGTCCCTGTTAGAAGGAGGTCTCTTTCCAGAGCCATACAGGCGGGAGGGCACACACATACACTCCACACACCCATCTCCCGTGGCGCAGAGCCTCCATACCCGCTGCTGTCTGCTCCCTCTCCACCCTCCCTCTCAAGCGGCTGCAGGGGAATTTCCTTCTACTGCTGTGTTCTTCTCAGCCTCTGAAGAAGAGGACAGTTCTTACTATACACTGACAGGCCTGATTTGAAGAACGTGGTACATGCTCAAAAGAAGAAATAGCAGGTGGGAACTTGGAGGGCTCCCAGGCCCACGGAGCAAATCACGCTAACGATGTTCACCTTCTACGGGGACCCCTGAGGCTCCTCAAATCTAAGGCAACAATCTCACTTCTTTAAAAAAGGTGAAGCTTCAAGTAAATTCCTGCTCATCTGGGTCATATTTCAAGTATCTTTTCCTTGTCTGGGAGCTGCAAGGCCCATCATCTGTCTCAATGAGGAGCTGGTTCTTAAAAATCCCCTGCTATTCTGATCCCATGCCCTGAGGCTGAGAACTCAGCAGCATAAATACATATATAGCAATGGGCTAGGACAATGTGTTAGTAGCATGCTCCTAATAAAAATCTCTTCCATTTACCAATCTGTCAGTATTAATATTCTCATTTTCTAGGTCTGGGAGTTGCCTGCCTGTAACAAGGGCATCCTTACAGCCTGAGGTTCACCCATATTGTTGGCCCTGTATTTCAGGGTCAGGTTGAACTTCACTTTTTCCTTCCACTCCTTCCTCATTTCCATTTCAACCACAAGTTCTCACTCTTGTCACCTGTGCTCTGCTGAGAGGCGAACACGGAAGAGTTGTCTTCCCAACAGATGGGAGGTCAATGCTGGGTGGGCACCTTCCTGGGCTGTCCCCTCATAGTTCCATTGTACTTGGCTTATACCAAAACCAACCACAAT